GCATTGGTAATCCATTACCTGCTTTATGCATCATGAAGCACTTTCTGATCCTCAATATCGACAATTCTCATCTTATTCTCCTCCAGTTTGTAAATGAGCAAACTGTGGCTTCTAGAGGCTGTATCATTTGGCTTAGCCTTTTTTTTTTTTTTTTTTTTTTTTTTTTTTTTTTTTTTTTTTTTTTTAGAGACAAGGTCTCGCTATGTTGCCCAGGATGGCCTCAAACTCCTGGCTTCAAGTGACCCTCCCACCTCAGCCTCACGAGTAGCTGGGATTACAAGTGTGAGCCATTGCACTCGGCACCAGCATATTCACAATCAGTTCCATCTTAGAGGCTGTTTGGTGGACTCCCAGAAATATTAGCTTAAAAGTGGCAGAGCCTGGCATTTTGCAGTTTTTATGTGATGAAATGTACTGAGTTCTCATACAAATATTGCTCCTTGTTTTGCAAAAGGAATTAGGCCCCTTTCCCCGTCTCAGCAGCTGACCCATTATTAGCAATCCCCTAGGGAACTGGAATAGCTTTAGATCAACAGTGGTTCTCAAAAGAGACTATCAAATGACACACTTGTCCCCAGCTCCAGATTCCGATATCCACACCCCAAACATCCAATCACTGCTTTTCATAGTCTTTTGATGGTTTTTGTTTTTGGTTTCAGTTTTTGGTTTTTAGTGTTTTTCTGAGACAAAGTCTGGCTCTGTTGCCCGGGCTGGAGTGCAGTGGTGCCATCTCGGCTCACTGCAACCTCCACCTCCCAGGTTCAAGCTATCCTCCTGCCTCAACTTCCCACCATACCTAGATAATTTTTGTAATTTAAATAGAGGTGGGGTTTCACCATGTAGGCCAATCTGGTCTCAAACTCTTTTTTTTTTTTGGACAGAGTCTCACTTTGTTTACCGAGCCAGAGTGCAGTGGTGTGATCCCGGCTCACTGCAGCCTTTACCTCCCAGGTTCAAGCGATTCTCTGGCCTCAGCCTCCTGAGTAACTGGGATAACAGGTGCACACCACCTTGCCTGGCTAATTTTTATATTTTTAATATAGATGGGGTTTTACCATGTTGGCTAGGCTGGTCTCGAACTCCGGACCTCAAGTGATCCACCACCTCGGTCTCCCAAAGTGCTGGGATTACAGGCGTGAGCCACCGCGCCCAGCCTAAGTTTTTGTATTTTTAGTAAAGACGGGGTTTTGTCATGTTGGCCAGGCTGGTCTCGAACTGTTATTCTCAAGTTATCCACCTGCCTCGGCCTCCCAAAGTGTTGGGATTACAGGCGTAAGCCACCGTGCCTGGCCTTCTGCTTGATCAATTCTGCTGTTAAGACTCTGATGCAGGGACAGGGGGCGGAGCTGGAGGGGGTGGTTCGGCGTGGGGGCCGTTGGCTCCAGACAAATAAACATGGAGTCCATCTTCCACGAGAAACAAGAAGGCTCACTTTGTGCTCAACATTGCCTGAATAATTTATTGCAAGGAGAATATTTTAGCCCTGTGGAATTATCCTCAGTTGCACATCAGCTGGATGAGGAGGAGAGGATGAGAATGGCAGAAGGAGGAGTTACTAGTGAAGATTATTGCACGTTTTTACAGCAGCCTTCTGGAAATATGACAGTGGTTTTTTCTCTATTCAGGTTATAAGCAATGCCTTGAAAGTTTGGGGTTTAGAACTAATCCTGTTCAACAGTCCAGAGTATCAGAGGCTCAGGATCAATCCTATAAATGAAAGATCATTTATATGCAATTATAAGGAATTCTGGTTTACAGTTAGAAAATTAGGAAAACAGTGGTTTAACTTGAATTCTCTCTTGACGGGTCCAGAATTAGTATCAGATACATATCTTGCACTTTTCTTGGCTCAATTACAACAGGAAGGTTATTCTGTGTTTGTTGTTAAGGGTGACCTGCCAGATTGCGAAGCTGACCAACTCCTGCAGATGATCAGGGCCCAACAGATGCACCGACCAAAACCTATTGGAGAAGAATTAGCACAACTGAAAGAGCAAAGAGTCCATAAAACAGACCTGGAACGAGTGTTAGAAGCAAATGATGGCTCAGCAATGTTAGACGAAGATGAGGAGGATTTGCAGAGGGCTCTGGCACTAAGTTGCCAGGAAATTGACATGGAAGATGAGGAAGCAGATCTCCGCAGGGCCATTCAGCTAAGTATGCAAGTTCCAGAAATATATCTCAAGATATTCCACGGACATCAGGTACAAATCTTACTTCAGAAGAGCCTTGGAAGAGACGAGAAGCCTACTTTGAAAAACAGCAGCAAAAGCAGCAACAGCAGAAGCAGCAGCAGCAGCAGGAGCAGCAGGGGGACCTATCAGGACAGAGTTCACATCCATGTGAAAGGCCAACCACCAGTTCAGGAGCACTTGGGAGTGATCTAGGCGATGCTATGGGTGAAGAAGACATGCTTCAGGCAGCTGTGACCATGTCTTTAGAAACGGTCAGAAATGATTTGAAAACACAAGGAAAAAAAATAATACCTTTAAAAAATAATTTAGATATTCATACTTTCCAACATTATCCTGTGTGATTACAGCATAGGGTCCACTTTGGTAATGTGTCAAAGAGATGAGGAAATAAGACTTTTAGTGGTTTGCAAAAAAAATGATGAGAAAGTAGAACAATGCGTCAGTTGTAGGACTAAATAATGATCTTCCAAATATTAGCCAAAGAGGCATTCAGCAATTAAAGACATTTAAAATAATTTTCTAAATGTTTCTTTTTCTTTTTTGAGTGTGCAATATCTAACATGTCTAAAATTAGGGCATTTTTCTTGGATCTTTTTGCAGACCAGCTAATTACCTCTTGCCTCAGGCTTTTTCCATATAGTTAGTTTTCTTTTTCTCTCTTGTAGATAATTTGGCTCACATCATCTAATAGTGGCTTTCATTTCTTATTAACCAAATTAACCTTTCAGGAAAGTATCTCTAGTCCGTATTGATAATAGTAACGGTTCTAGAAGGATAAACGGTTCTCCCTTCAACTGTATACTGTGTGCTCCAGTGTTTTCTTGTGTTATTTTCTCTGATCACAACTTTTCTGCGACCTGGTTTTCATTATTTTTCCTCAATTCTTTGGAAAGATGGTAATGTTTTCTGAGGTCTAGCGTTTTAAGCCCTACGATGGGATCATTATTTCATGACTGGTGCATTCCTAAACTCTGAAATCAGCCCTGCACAAGTACTTGAGAATAAATGAGCATAAAAAAAAAAGACTCTGATGCATTCTTCAGTATGTCAATTTCATTTTCAACTCTAGAATTTCTGCTTGACTCTTTTTAATTATTTCTATCTCCTTGTTACATTCATCTGATGGAAAATCTGAATTCCTTCTCTGTGTTGTCTTGAATTTCTTTGAGTTTCCTCAATACAGCTCTTTCAAATTGTCTACCTGAAAGGTTGCCTATTTCTGTTTCTGCAGGGTTGGTCCCTGGTGCCTTATTCAGTTTGGTGAGGTCATGTTTTCCTGCTTGGTGTTGATGCTTACAGATATTCATCAGTGTCTGAGCAGTGAAGAGTTAGGCATTTATTGTAGTCTTCACAGTCTGGGCTTGTTTGTGCCTGTGATTCTTGGGAAGGCTTTCCAGGTATTCAAAGGAACTTGAACCCCAAACCCAATAACACTGTGGTTCTTGCGGACTCCTAAAGGTACCGCTTTAGTGGTCCTGGATAAGATCCGGAAGAATTCTCTGCATTACCAGGCAGAGGTTCTTGTTCTTTTCCCTTACTTTCTTCCAAACAAACGGAGTCTCTCCCTCTCTTTCCGAGCTAGGCCTCTTGCCTGGGGGTGGAAGGACACAAGAACCCCTGTGGCCATCACCACCGGGACTGCATTGGTTCAGACCTGAAGCAGCCCAGCACTGGGTCTCACCTAAGGTCTGCTAGAAATGCTACCTGACCACCACCTGAGTTCACTCAAGGGCCTGGGGCTCTACAATCAGCAAATAGCAAACCCAGCCAGGGTATTGTCGCTCCCTTCAGGGCAGTGAGTTCCCCTAGGCTCTGGGTGGGTCCAGAGATGCTGTCTGGGAGCCAGGGATTGGAGTCATAAACCATTCTATAGATGTACTAAGATAGAATGGAATTCTATAGACGTACTATTCCACTGCAGCTAAGCTGGCACTCAAACCGCAAGGCAAAGTCCTTCCCACTCTTCACTTCCCTTTCCTCAGTCAGAGGAACCTCTCCTCGTGGCCACCACTACCACCAGCCTACAAGGAGTTCTGCCAGGCCACTGCTGATGTTCACTTAAAGCCCCAGGGCTCTTCAGGCAGCCTGTGATGAATGCTATCAGGCCTGTGACTCATCCTTCAGGGCAGTGGGCTCCCCTTGGCCCAGGGCAAGTCCGCAAATGCTGACCAACAGCCTAGGCCTGTACTCAGGGACCCCAAAAGGCTGCTTGGTGCTCCACCCGACTGTGGCTGAGCTGGTACCTAAGGGGCAAAACAGGTCCCATTTACTCTTCCTCCTGCTTTTCTCGAACAGAAGGCATCTTTCACTGTAGCCGCCACAGCTGGGAATGTGCTGGGTCACACCTGAAGCCAGCATGTCTCAGAGCCCAGTGCCCACCGGTGGACAGGAAGTAGGATTTAGTGGTGAGTGTTAAGAAGCGGCAGCACAATGGAAGCCCTCATGAGTGCAGGGCCCACTACTTGTCCAGAGGGCCACAATGGGGATGTACTCGTGAGACGTACACACATCTCAGATGAGCCACTTCTCAGCCACCGTGTCTTCAAATTCATCTTCATTGACCTTGGTGAAGCCCCACTTCTGTGAGATGTGGATCTTCTGGCGGCCAGGGAACTTGAACTTGGCTGTGAGCAGGGCCTTAACTACATGCTCCTTGTTCTCCGGGTTCAAGGCGGATGGACATGATAACTTGGCCAATGTGAACCCCAGCCACAGTGCCCTGGGGCTTTCCAAAAGCACCTTGCGTATCTGTTTGGAGCCTACACTGGGGTAGTGCAAGGTCAGACACGAACATCCATCTGAAGGGCCCGTCTCCAAGGTCCCTTAGAGCAGTCCATACAAGAAACAGGCTGCGTGCACCATCAAGGAAGCTGCTGTTTGCAGCCATTGCACACTGGACCCCCATGAGGCGAGGAACTCGGCCAGCTGAGTTGGCTGTAGATGCCCACAGCATATTACCCGGCTATGGCTGTTGGTTATACAGGGCCCAGGGGCTCCTTCGTCAGCAGATGGTGAATGCTACCAGGTCTCTGCTGTGATGGGACAGCACTGAGTTCAATGTGAAGTCCCCACGTTGCTAGCTCTCCCTCTCCCATGTGCACAGATCTGTCTGTGCCACATGGTCACTGCCAGGGGTGGGAGTGGGGGGTGGCCCAAGAACTCCCTTAGCTGCCCCAGCTAATGTCTCAGGAGGTTGTGTGCCTCTGATTTCACAGTCCACTGGTTGTGAGCCCAGCTCGGCACTCAGGTTTGCCTGTGAATTGCAGTCCTGATGGCCTAAACTGCCCCTCAAGTCTGCTAAGGGCCCCAGAGCACTCCAGCTCACAGTGGCAAGGCTTGCCAGAACTCAAGCTCCAACTGCCAGAATGGGCAATTCCGGTGAGTGCCAGTCCAAGTACTCCCTGTGTGAGCCAGTGTTAGCTAAGTACACTTGGATTCTGCTTTCTGCTGTGACAATGCGAAGTCTCACAATCACTGTGCTCTTCCTCTCCAAAGCACACCAATACTCCATGCCACGGGGCCGCTGCTGGGGGGTGGGGGATGGGTGGCGTCAGCAACTCAAGACTGTCTTTCCTGCCCTCTTCAACATCTCTTTCAGAGATACAAGGTTAAAACCGGGTACTGTGATTGCTCACCTGATTTTTGGTTCTTGCGATGGTTCTTTTTGTGTGTTGTTAGCTGTTAAAATTTGGTGTTCCTGTCAGGGGTCAAATGATCAAATGATGTAGGTTTTCTTTCCTTTTCTTTTCTTTTTTCTTTTCTTTTCTTTCTTTTTTGAGACAGAGTCTTGCTCTGTCACCCAGGCTGGAGTGCAGTGGCGCGATCTGGGCTCACTGCAAGCTCCGCCTCCTGGGTTCACACCATTATCCTGCCTCAGCCTCCCAAGTAGCTGGGACTACAGGTGCCCGCCACCATACCCAGCTAATTTTTTTGTATTTTTAGTAGAGACGGGGTTTCACCGTGTTAGCCAGGATGGTTTCAATCTCCTGACCTCGCGATCCGCCCGCCTTAGCCTCCCAAAGTGCTGGGATTACAGGCGTGAGCCTCCCCGCCCGGCCAAATGGTGTTGGCTTCTATTCAGCCATCCTGCTCCACCCTCTGTGATTTTTTTTTTTTAATTGAAAGGCACAGGCAAAGTTTGGTGCTGGTGGTGGTAGACAGAATAGTGATTATTAGCAGAAAAAGAAAAGAGCTCCAGGATGCTGTCTATATTTAATATGCAGGCCTGCCTCCTGGCTGGATCATATTGATGGTTCAGGTAGAGGGACAGGGTCGCCACTATCCCCCCCCAGCTGCTCCATGTCATCAGACCTCTGGCTTCTCACGCGGCCCAGGTACATGGGACTCTGATTTTTCTTTTCTTTCTTTCTTTCTTTCTTTCTTTCTTTCTTTCTTTCTTTCTTTCTTTCTTTCTTTCTTTCTTTCTTTCTTTCTTTCTTTTTCTTTTCTTTTCTTTCTTTCTTTTTTTTTTTTTTTGAGACAGAGTCTCACTCTGTCACCCAGGCTGGAGTGCAGTGGTGCCATCATGGCTCACTGCAATCTGCATCTCTGGGTTCAAGTGATTCTCCTGCCTCAGCCTCCCAGGTAGCTGGGATTACAGGCACATGCCATCATGCCCAGCTAATTTTTGTATTTTTGCAGAGGTGGGGTTTCACCATGTTGGCCAGGCTGTTCTTGAACTCCTGACCTCAGGTGATCCACCTGCCTCAGTCTATCAAAATGCTGGGATTATAGACATGAGCCACCATGCTCAGCCAGGACTCTGTCATTTCATTGTGCAGTCCTACAGACCTTCTCTTTCATCTGTACCTGTTTCACTAGCCAGGGCACCAGTCTCCTGAGGACTGCCTAGGTAAATGCCCGGATTAATTTGCTCCTCTAAGACATTTATAGACATTCTCTGTGGACAGATCATACACTCAGCAAAGAGCAGCAAACAGGTCTTAGCACCCTGTGAACCTGATACTGGGAGGGGCCCCACACCCTCTCATATCACCCTCATTTAGTCTTATTTATACAAGTAGCAAATTTAGGACTCAAGATCTGCCCTGTATCGATGTCTTTCTAGGCATTTTGTTGTCTGAAGTTTGTTATTTCTCCGGAAGAGATCATGGGAATAATAGCGCCTGAGGTCTTCTGTCACAGCGTGGCATGTCAGGGTCTTTTCTACCTGAATGTCAGTTTTGCTGGATATAACATTCATGGCTTACAGTTTCTTTTCTTAAATATGTACTCCATTTTCCTCAGGTACAAAGTATTGCTCTCAAAAAGGTAGATTCTAATTTCTTTCCCTTACATGTCACTTCTGCTTTTTTGTCTAGAAGCCCAGAAATTTTTATTTTTTATTTAAAGCCCAGTATTGTACTAGAATATGACTAATAACTTGCATTAGTCATTCTGAATAAAAATTCCATGCACTTTTTTTTAAATTTATTTTTGAGACAGAGTCTCATTCTGTCACCCAGGCTGGAGTGCAGTGGCATGATCTTGGCTCACTGCAGCCTCTGCCTCCTGGGTTCAAATGATTTTCCTGCCTCAGCCTTTGGAGAAGCCGACATTAAAGGTGCCTACCACTACACCGGGTAATTTTTGTATTTTTAGTAGAGATGGGGTTTCACCATGTTGGCCAGGTTGATCCACCTGCCTTGGCCTCCCAAAGTGATGGGATTACAGGCATGAGCCACCGCGCCCGGCCCATGCACTTTTTCAATAAGCAGAATCTTCCAGTAAAGGTATGCTGAATTCATGGATAACATACTCTGGTGTACCCAATAATCACTGGGCCAAGAATTGGCTTTTATTTTAGTTGCCTCTGTTCCATGTGACTGTCAGCAGATTCTTCTCTTTGCTGGATCTAAATGGACCTCATTGGTAAAACTCTCAATTGAAAACACTTTATAGATTGATGAAAGTGAAGCCAGGGCTCTGTCAAGCCTTTGCTTTTTATGTTGTAGGAAGAGGGACTTGATTTCCCAGAGAAAGTCAAATCAGGGTCAGAATGACAAATTATTGGCTTTTTCTGTGTGTGGAGAAAGAGAAATTATAATAGATCTGAACAAGGTATTACACAAATGAGCCCAAAATGGGTCTGTATTGAATATCCAGTGCCACGAAACTAGAGATGAGTAGCAGAAGGAAAATGGGAAAATTCAAAAATGTGGAAGTTAACAACACTCTTTTTATTGAGGTAAAATATACACATATAATTTATCATCTTTACCTTTATTTATTTTTCTTTTTTTTCTTTTTTATTTTTGAGACAGAGTCTCGGTCTGTCACCCAGCCTGGAGTGCAATGGCGCCATCTTGGCTCATGCAACCTCCGCCTCCCGGGTTCAAGTGATTCTCCTGCCTCAGCCTCCGGAGTAGCTGGGACTACAGGTGCCTGACATCACACCTGGCTAATTTTTGTATTTTTAGTAGAGATGGGGTTTCACCATGTTGGCCAGGCTGGTCTCAAACTCCTGACCTCAGGTGATCTGCCCGCCTCGGCCTCCCAAAGTGCTAGGATTACAGGCATGAGCCACTGTGCCTGGCTTTACCTTTTTTTTTTTTTTCCTTGAAACAGGATCTTACTCTGTCACCCAGGCTGGGGTGCAGTGGCTTGATCATAGGCCACTGTAACCTTGCACTCCTGGGCTCAAGCAATCCTCCCACCTTGGCCTCCGAGAATGCTGAGATTATAGGTGTGAGCCACTGCGCCTGGCCATCTTTACCATTTTTAAGTGAAAATTGGTGGTAATAAATACAGTTATATATATTCTTTTTCCCCCTTGTATCTCCCTTTCCCTCTTCCCTTTGCTGGCTTCTGGTAACCATCAATCCACTCTCCATCTTCATGAGATCTGCTTATTTAGCTCCCACAAATGAGTAAGGACATGTGATATTTGTCTTTCTGTGCTCGGCTTGTTTCTGTTCATGTAATGGTCTCCAGGTCCATCCATGTTGCTGCATATGACAAGATGTCATTCTTTTGTATGGCTGAGTGTTTATATGCTACATCTTCTTTATCCTGGGATAAAGCAAGCCTCCTGCTTCACCCTCCTGAGTAGTTGGGGCTACAGGCACATGCCACCATGCCCAGGTAATTTTTTATGTTTTGTAGAAACAGAATTACATTGTGTTGTCCAAGCTTGTCCTGAACTGCTGGCCTCAAGTGATTCTTCCACCTTGGCCTCCCAGTGTGCTGGGATTACAGGCATGAGCCACTGACACCCAGCCATGTTGGCCATTTTAATGTCTGCTTTTGAGAAATATCTGTTCAGATCATTTGCCCATTTTTAAATTGGATTAATTGGTTTTTTTTGCTATTGAGTTGTTTGAGCTCCTTATATATTCTGGTTATCAATCCCTTTTGAGATGGTTTGCAAATATTTTCTCCTATCCAATGGGTTGTCTTGAAGTAGGAGGTGGGACTTGATGCCAGTGGCAGGGCTCAGACATCAGACCAGATTGAGGACTAGCTAAAACAGGAAGAGGCAAAAGCACCTCTCCATAAGACATGGCCACCATTGTGCCGTGTCAGTTTACCGTTGCCATGGCAATATCTGGAAGTTACTGCCCCCTTCCATGGCAACAACTCAACGACCTGGAAGTTACTACCCTTTTTCTAGAAATTTATGCATAATTCACCTCTTAATTTACATATAATTAAAAGTAGGTATAAATAGGACTGCAGAACTGCCCCTGAGCTGCTGCTCTGGGCACACTGCCTATGGGGTGGCCCTGCTGAACAGCGGGCAGTATCTCTGTTGCTGCTGTACACGGCTGCTTCAATGAAAGTTGCTGCCTAACACCACCAGCTCGCCCTTGAATTATTTCCTGGGCAAAGCCAAGAACCTTCCCGGGCTAATTTTGGGGTTCACCTGCCCTGCATCAGTCTCTTCATTTCATTGTTTCCCTTATATTTTCACTTGATGTAATTCCAACTGTCTATTTTTG